TTTGCCTAGTCCTTTAACAGCAGACCCCCAAATCTGCTCTGGGCTGTGCGCAGGAGGCTCCCATGGCAATCAATGAGATCCATGTGCATCTCTGACCAGCACGAAGGGTAGCTCAGCAGGTGTCTTGACTAGCCAGTGGCACAAGACCATGTCATATGTTCTCCAAGCTGGCACGCTGGTGAATGCAGTAGTGTTATTACCATAGCTGCACGCTGTGTGGGCAGACAGAGCCAGGGTGGGGTGACCCACGGTGTAAAGAACTGGTCCCACAAGAGGAGACACAGAAGGTGAAGGAGGACACAGGTAGGAGGTCCTCAGGCTGGTTCTAGTTGGCACTGTTGGAAGGAAGTCTGCGCTAACGGTCTAGTGATCTGACAGGTTCAGGGAAGGATAAGCTTGTGGCCAAAACATGGGGGTTGGGAGTCAGGAGACCTGGGTTCTCTTCACATCTCTACCACGGACTCACTGAGCACAGGACGGCCCCTCTCTGTGCTTCACTTTCCCCGTTTATACAACAGGGGCGTGATAATGATCTATCTCTCAGGAGTGGTTTTTAAAATTAATTTGCTAACATTTCTTGTAAGATGCTTTGAGATCCTCAGGTCAGAAAAGGGGTGTGTGTTTTTACTTCTAGATCAAAGGTTCAAACTTGGCCCAGCTCAGTAGTACAAAAGTTACCACCAGTTTCATACAGACCACACATCAGATGGTAGTGTCCATGGAAAGGTGCTCCTAACATCCAAGACACCACCATAATTGGCACTTACAGCATTTGCCCCCTTTTGTGCAGTCCCAGCAGAGAAGACAAGAACTGAGTGAATAGAGTGAGCTCTCCTTGTTGGAACAGGTCCCTGCAGAGCAAGACTGGGACACACTGGGGAGAGAGCTTACACTTTCCCTGCCTGTGTTGTACCTGCTCTGTTAGTAGAGAGAGGACTCTGGCTCCAGGGCTGGCAATCAGGCACGTTTTCCCAGCACTGAACTTGCATAGACTAAGAAAAGGTGATCTGTACAGCAGGCTGGCTTCTCTTTATGATAAGCAAGTTCATTGCTGTTTCTCAGCAGGGCCTGGAGATGCACGCAGAGGTCTGGCCTAGGGGAATAACTGCTGACAGGTGGACGGTGCCTGCCTTGCTTGCAAAGCTGGTTGAAAGTCAGGAAAACGCTTTCAGCCCAGCCAGCTGACTTGGTTGGCAAAGAACTGAGCCCTGCTGTCAGCCTTACAAGGGCCTGATCATGGTCCAGAGCCAGAGAAGGAACAAGTCTGGTACCCCCGATCTCCATTTGATGAGTATTAAATTCTAGGCTGTTGTTATTCCAGCTTTATGCTCTACCCATAACCATAGCATCTGAGCACCTACCACGTTGCTCTTACAAAGTCAATCAGCCTAATTAGGAAATGCAAAGGGAAAACATTGATGCCACCATCAGCCAGTCCATGTTGTTTGGTTTGTCTCCGGATGGGACAGATCATGCTTGAACTTCATGGGCACATAGGAGTTGGTGATGCTATACACCGCGAAGGGAAGGGTGTTGGTGATGGCCATGGTCTCACCCCTTTTCCATACTAGTGGCAGCTAGCCCACGAGGGAGCATATGTTAAACCTGTAAAAAGGAGGTCTAGCTGCTGCCTCTGAGCATACTCTTCCCCCTCTCCCCTCCACATACATACATATACCAGCAGTGACATTCTGTCTACATGTGTGCTCCACAGACAGAATTCTTCCTTCATGTGTGTGTGTACCAATGCACATGCTGCTAGTGTTTATAAGATACTTTTCTGCGCCAGCTCCAGGGACCTGAATCTTGTGGCATATAATAACCCAAGCTCAACAGAAGCCAGTGGTGGTGGAATGGTACAAATCACTCACCCAAGGGAGCAGGGCATGGATTCAATGTGTGAGCTGGGGCGGGGGCGGAGGAGGGAGTTTGCCAGTTGGATCACTCGGACTGCCTCCCACACCACTTGACAGATGCTTGATCTATTCCTGTACCAGACTGATTGCCTTTCCAACCCAGAGTAAAAAAAAAGCACTTATGGAGATAGGGTGATGAGGAATAAAGGAGGAAAGCCAAGGGCAGCCATGCTCAAATGTCATGGGGCAAGAAGATAGACCCAGGAAAAAACACAACCACTACCAACACAAATCTGATAGCAGTGCTATTCTGGTCCTGGGTCACCATGGGGAGCCAGCCAATCAGCTATAGGACTGGCCAGAGACCTCCTAGGAATCAAGCCAAAAGCAATTTTAATGGCAGGAGTGATTTCCATTAACTGTTTGCCCTGGAACTTTTCAGATCTTTTCAGTCCGTATTTTGCTCCCCAAGCATCCAAACATAGCTCCTCAAGCTAGCCACAGCTAGTCCCAAGACCCTGCTCCCCCCAGGAAATCGGTGGGTACATTAACACTCACTGAAACCCTCCTCACCTGGTCCTCAGCCCCATGCCGGCCAGGAGCTTGAGGTGTCCAAGCAGAGAGAAAATTGTGCTCAGCCCCTGAATATAGAGACCGGAGAAGGTTATTTCCCCTCCCCTTTGAATCCTCTTAGCCTGTTCCTTCATTCATCTGTAGCTCCATTTGTCAGAAGGGAGAAATGTAATGGGTCTAAAAACTGCTTCAGCAGGAGGAACGTAAGAGAATGCTAAATGGAGGTGACGAGAGGGGAGGAAGAAAGCAGTGCAGGAAGGGAATCTAAGGACCAGAGTAAACTTTGAGAAGTTAAACCATCCATTATTTGAAATGACAACAGCTTACAAGGCAGACTAACCTTCTAGGTGCTTTTTCTTTGCTTCTTTCTTTCTTTCCCACTCCGTTGCTCTCTTCTTCGCTGTGGATTTGTCTTAGAGCTGCAGCTGCCTGCCTTCTCCTGGATTGTTTTCTGCTTCTAACTGCAGAAATGCTAGACAGAACCTTGTGGTCTAAGAATATACTGCCTACTCAGACCCTGTCAAGAATTACTTCTCACTGGGTAGAGTGACTGAGACACTGGGGCTTGGCTCTTAGGAGACGCACGTGCAAAACTCTTATCAGGTCCTGACAACGGGAGCTCCAGGATCCTATGTCTCACCTGCCCCCTGCTGGAAAATATGGTATTATTCACTAACCCCATGCCAGGGAATACTGTGAATCACCCAATTCACCCCTATGCTGGATGATAGTATCACCTACCTGATCCCATCACTTCCAGGTGGCTGGAATGTGTGTATCCCACCTCACCTCTCTGGAAGAGGACAGTGCATAACATCTACCCTATGCCACCCTTTCTCCATGGCCAATGATACTGTGCATCACCTGTTTCGCCCCCACATCCCTCCATGCCTGAGGATGAGAGTTGTAGGGCACCTGTGGCTCAGGAGTTGTGTATGCCTGTTAATTTGTTACTATGTTTCCAGTGCAATATGGACACTAAACAAATTATAGATGAGGAGGACATTCAGAGCCACGGATTTCCTTCTTCCCTGCTTTAGTATACTGCCCCTATAAGATGCTATCCACTCTGCTCTTGAGGATTCTAGTTTCTCACAGCTGTGTCACATGTCCTGTAAATCAGATAGGGTGGTCACCTATGTGTCATGGAAATAAAAGATTATCTATCTATCTACCTATCTATCTAAATGCCAATAGTTCCATTCCTGGACCAAAGCCCTACATTTGTATTGCACTGTGTGATACTTCATGTAATTGTTGCTGAAATGGGGAACAAAATGCATTCTACTGTGTTACAAACTCTCACGAGTCTTGCAAGATTTGATATTTTTCTTAAGCTGCAGCTCATGGCATCATTTCATTATGTGAGAATCTCAGCTTTCTTTCTTTCTTTCTTTCTTTCTTTCTTTCTTTCTTTCTTTCAATTAAGCTTTAAGCCCTCAGGGTTGAAGAGAAAAGCTTGAAAGTGTGACCCTAAAGGTCAAATAAAAAGAATCCCAAATGTATTATTTTTTAAAATCCCATGACTTTTAAGGCAATCTCATGATTTTCAGGGCCTAATGAGTTTTGAATGCTTGGGGCTGGCTATAATGCTTCCATGGTGACTTGATATGGGATACGGCACATTGGACCCTAAGTAAGGGAATTCTTTAAACAATAGGGTCCACACTATAGGGTCGAGAGCAGTTAAAGAGCCCCAGATTGACAGGGAGCATTATAAAATCATGTGTTGATAGGCGAGGATGTGTGCCAGGCAAGGTCCCAGGGCATTCCCATGGCCCAGCCATGAGAACTCATACCTGTTCCCACAATGTCACTGTGTGAGGTCACAGCATGTTCCCATGGCACTGACAGGAGAGGACACAGGCATGTCAGAGTGGTTATGTCCCGGGCGCCCTAGGCTGCATGAGGTTTTGCCCCTCAGGGCCCCGCGCAGCTAGAACCAAGGTCCTGCTATGCTCCAATCAAAGTGACTGGCCAGTCTGCCCAGGGCTCCGGAGCTGGGCACAGTCCGCCTGCGCCAGTAACCAAAATGGCCGCCTGGGCCTCAGCCCCAGCTCAGGAGAGAGGCTCCCCGCCCCCTGCTGCCCACAACAAGCTTGGCGGCAGGAGAGGTGGAGTCAGAACACCGTCACGTGCCCTACGCGTGGGGCAAGGGGCGAGGCACGCGCGGGAGTAGGAACGGTTGCTACGGTTACCGAGGACGCGCCCCTGAAAAGTGATCACTGACTCGCTCCTCCCCGTCCCAGCCGTAAGCGGTGAGTACCCCTCGCTCGCGTCCCCGTACACCCGGGACCAGGGGTGACTCTACCCTGGGGTCTGCCCCCGTCATGTACATCCGGCGGGGAACCCCCGGGAACTGCCCTCTCTGGGTATCCCTCTGCCCCGGGAACCGGCCTCTACCGGGTATCCCCGCCTAGCCTATCCCCTGCCCTGGGAACTGCCCCTCCCCCCCCAGGCTGTCCTCTCCCCCTACCGAGAACAGCCCCTCTGGGTATCCCTCCCTCCTACCGCGGGACCTGCCCCCTCCAGGCTCTGGGTATCCTCTCCCGGCTATCCCCTGTCCCGGAAACCGGCCTCCACCGGATATCCCCGCCTAGCCTATCCCCTGCCCATGGTAGTTGGGAACTGCCCCCCTCACCCCCGGTTGTCCCCTCCTCCTCCCGGGAACTCCCCACCTCTGGTTTCAGAGTAGTAGCCGTGTTAGTCTGTATCCGCAAAAAGAACAGGAGTACTTGTGGCACCTTAGAGACTAACAAATTTATTAGAGCATAAGCTTTCGTGGACTACAGCCCACTTCTTCGGATGCACCTCCGAAGAAGGTATCCCTCCCCCAGGAACTGCCCCCCCCCGCAGGTATCCTCTCCTGGCTATCCCCTGCCCTGGGAACCGCCCCCCACCAGGTATCCCCTCCGCGCCTCCCCTTCCCCCAGGAACTCCCCCCCACCCGGCTATCCCCATCCCTGGGAACTGCCCTCCGTTGGCTGTTCCCTCTCCTCTCCTGCCCTGGGAACTGCCTCTGGGTACCCCTTCCCTCCCTGCCTATCCCCTCGCCACAGGAACTCCCCCCCACCCACACACACACTGGGTATCCCTGTCCCTGGGACCTGCCCTTCTTTGGGTATCCCTTCACCCCACTCTCCCTCCATAGCTAGATACATCACACAAACGTTTGACATGCTCCCCGTCCTGTACCATTTGGGGTTTATGTCCATAAGATATTTTTCACTTTGAGTTTCACACTGAAGGGAACTGAACTGTACAAAGTGTTTGTGTGATCAGTAAAACCATGTGCATTTTGAGATGTTTCAACATCCAGGTCTTGAATCTTATTAGAATGTGCCGTTTCTGTGTATCATTTACATTATTTTGAATTTGATTAGCTGGGAGAGGGGGTAGTTTTAGAGAAGGTAGAAGAGCTCACAACACAGGAATAGTGCTGCTGAGAGCATAACAAGAGGTTGTGCTGAGTTACTGCAAAACAGAGCCTAGAAGAAAGAGTATGGGTATGTTTAATTTTTTTCATTCCTTATTTCTGCAGAGACATGGCTGTTCTCTCTGGGCAGGCTAGTAAAAGAGGATCCCTTATATTGGCTCCACCTTCTTCCATTGAGGCACCTCTGTCCCCAATCAAACCGGTACAGATCACAGTGTTGGAGGCACGTGACCTGGTAAAGGCTTCTGAAATGTCTCATCTTGTCTGGCATTAAATATATCTGGTTTAGTAAATGGGGCAGGCATGAACTTTTATGCTGTAAACGCTTCCAAAACTTGGTGTGAGAACATAACACTCCTGAGCAATCTATAATGAAACCAGGACCTCAGTGTAACCCATAGTTACACAGCATGGTTCTCTGTTCCCCAGTAGTGGCTAGCTCGTATGTAGAGTAAAGGGTCTTGTTTTTTGGTCCAAAAATCTTGGGTTCAATCCCCACCGACAGCCCATCCAGGAATATTGCATTGCATAAACATTAATTTGAAACATGACCTGCTATGCCCCCTCTTGCATTACTATCAGTATTTTTAGTTAATTCTTTACAACAAAGTTTTCTAAGCAATGCATGATATAGGTCATACTCCTGTTTTGCTAACATGTTCTTTTTTTTTTAAATTCCATACCCTCCTTCCATCACCAACATAATATAGAGACAAATACTTATAAAGAGTTGATTCTGATCTCAGTTACAGCAATGTAAATCTCAAATAACTCCACTGAAATTTGTGCCAGTTAACTAAAATCAAAATCTGGCCATTAATGGAGTCTATGAACCACATTACATTCCTGGCTGATCTTATTGACGTCTAGAGTAATTGTAACAACTCAGAAAAAAGACCTGGGTGTCACAGTGGACAGCACAATGAAAATTTCTGCTCATTATATAGCAGCAGTCAGAAAAGCAAATAAAATGGTAGAATGCATCTAGCTATCTGTCTAGGCATTTATACCATAGTATCAAAATACCTCTCATGCATTAATAGATTTACCCTTGCTATGTCTTTGTGCAGTAGGGAAGTCTATAAAGGAATGAGATGAGAAATAATACTGAAAATATTAAATGTCATTATATAAATCAGTGGTACAACCTGAACTGGAATACTTCAGTTCTGGTCGCCCCCTCTCAAAAAGAAAATAGCAAGTATAGAGAGGGCTAAGAGATGGGTGGGGGGGGAGGGAAATGTTAAGGGATACGTAAAAGCTTCCAGATGAAGGTATATAGAAGAAATTTGGGAATGTTTAGTTAGAGAGGAGATGAATAAGAGAGGACATGAGAAAGGAATACAGAATAATGAATGGTATAGAAAAGGTGTCTTCTATTTAGCCTTTCTCTTAATGGATTAATAAGGAGGCATTTAATGAAACTGAAAAACAGCAAATTTAAAACTGATAAAAGGATATATTGATTACACAATGCACAATGAAAGCTGGGGAGGCATCAGTTGGAAGTAACAGAGGAGGAGAAGGACCTCAGAGTATTGGTTGATCACTGGATGACTATGAGCCACCAATGTGATATGGCCGTGAAAAAAGCTAATGCGGTCTTGGGATGCATCAGGCAAGGTATTTCCAGTAGAGACAAGGAGGTGTTAGTACCGTTATACAAGGCACTGGTGAGACCTCATCTGGAATAGTGTGTGCAGTTCTGGTCTCCCATGTTTAAGAAGGATGAATTCAAACTGGAAGAGGTTCAGAGAAGGGCTACTAGGATGATCCGAGGAATGGAAAACCTGTCTTATGAAAGGAGATTCAAAGAGCTTGGCTTGTTTAGCCTAACCAAAAGAAGGCTGAGGGGAGATATGATTGCTCTCTATAAATATATCAGAGGGATAAATACCAGGGAGGGAGAGAAATTATTTAAGCTCAGTACCAATGTGGACACAAGAACAAATGGATATAAACTGGACTTCAGGAAATTTAGACTTGAAATTAGATGAAGGTTTCTAACCATCAGAGGAGTGAAGTTCTGGAACAGCCTTCTAAGGGGAGTAGTGGGGGCAAAAGATATATCTGTCTTCAAGACTAAGCTTGATAAGTTTATGGAGGGGATGGTATAATGGGATAGCCTAATTTTGGCAATTAATTCATCTTTGACTACTAGCGGTAAATATGCCCAATGGCTTGTGATTGGATGTTAGATGGGGTGGGATCTGAGTTACTACAGAGAATTCTTTCCTGGGTGTCTGGCTGGTGAGTCTTGCCCACGTGCTCAGGGTTTAGCTGAACGCCATATTTGGGGTCGGGAAGGAATTTTCCTCCAGGGCAGATTGGCAGAAGCCTTGGGGGTTTTTCGCCTTCCTCTGCAGCATGGGGCACGGGTCACTTGCTGGAAGATTCTCTGCACCTTGAAGTCTTTAAACCATGATTTGAGGACTTCAGTGGCTCAGACACAGGTTTGATACAGGGGGGGGGGGGAGGTGAGATTCTGTGGCTTGCATTGTGCAGGAGGTCAGACTAGATGATCATAATGGTCCCTTCTGACCTTAAAGTCTATGATTACCGCAAAGTATCATTAGGCAAAATTGCTTAACAGGATTCAAATAAAGATTTGGCTTATATGGATAAGAATTAAAGAAAAGTTTGGAGAGGATATCAGCCTTTGTTGGTCATAAGTCAACCTCTATCTTGAGAGGGTTAGGAAATATTTTCCCCCTGTATTGAGGTTATATTATAATTTCCCACCTCATCATTTCTTGCACTGTCTTTGGGAGCATCTGCTCCTGGCCAGTGGCCACTGTCAGAGAAAAGCTGGTGAATTAAATGGACCACTGGTCTGATATACTTTAGAATTTCCTATATTCCTATGTTTAAGAACACTAGTAAACACATGCTAAAAACTGTGCCCTTCTTTAAAGCTACTAGTGTAGAATTAATGAGTCTACAGAATCCAAATATTTCCAAAAAGCTTGCTAAAATTCCCACTAGATTTCAAGGAGTTCTTTAGCTATACAGTATTCTAGAATTTCATATTAATGCAGCCATGCCATTTGTGAGCTACCTCCTCAGTTGTTTACAAAAATCAGAACCTGTCTTGAAATTATTATTATTCTTCATTATTATGTTGCCCCTTTGGATGAAAGTCAGTGTAGTTATGCTTCTCTCCTCCTCCATGTTAATGAAAACTATTAGTTCTAAATGTCCCTACCACATCTGGGTGCTAGTAACCACTGGGGTGCTGCAGAGAGAGAGAATGAAAAAAAGAGGGTGAAATCTCAGTGAGACCAGAATTTTTCATCATAAACCCATTCTTGTGTGTGGAGTAACTGAAAAAAAATCTTTTTTTTCCTTAGCTCAACCACCTTTTGTGGACAGCTCTGGTTGTGAGCAGTTTGAAATCTGCCTTTTGCAGTAGAATAAAATAATTAACCTATTGTTGGTTTGTGTTTGCCAGAAAGGTGTCAAAGGAGACACTCCAGTGACCTATGTGCGTGCAGAGTATAATGGTGTTATCCTGGGTGACTCCCTGAAAATTGATGTTTCTTCAGATGGGACAGTGAAATATAACTTCACCACTAGCTTTGAATACAACTCTGATGGGCCAAACTCGCTAGATGACATCGCACACAAACCCTTATTCTGTAAGTAACTGTCACTCTAACTGTCCATTTATATTTGCTCAGAATGAATCACTAGAGAATTGAAAGGAGCTCTGGCCGTGGGGATCTCTCACTGCTTCATCCCCATCTGCTCCTAGCAGGAGTCACTCATTAGAGAATGGAGTAGAAGCATCCCTATAGGGAACTCTCAGCTTCTCTATTCTCATCCTCTTCCAGCAGGACTTGCTTGAGAATGAAGTCTGAGCACTGGCTGTGGGAAACACTCAGCTATTCTATCCCCTTCAATCACTGGGGAATCAAGTAGGAATGTTGGTTAAGAGCTAATATACTTTTTAGGCACCCTGAATGATCTCCCTGTTTCCAACTGCTGTTTTATAGGTGATTGAGAAACATCACCAGATTCTATGTTTTCCCCCCCCCAGTGACTGTGATTGAAGTTTTACCAAAGGAGAAGAAGCAGAAGGAGGAAAAGACTGTGGCTCTTGGTCAGGCTGTTGTGGACCTTCTACCTCTGCTGGAAGGTGCAAAGTAGAATTCATACTGTGTCCACATCCACCTCTTGCTCTCACAGAGCTTCTTCATTGTAGCTTCACTTCTGTTGACAAATAATACCTAGTGCTGTCTTTAGAAAGTTGGATTATATGGGGGGCAGATAGCACAGTTTTTCCATTCATGAAGTGATTTCACTACAGGAGGGCTTCAGACTTTGTGCTGATTCTGTCTTTGTTTCTTCACAGGACAGTGTTCATTTAGAGCAACAGTTCCACTGCATCCAGTTCCTGGCTCTCCACTAGAGAGCCTTCGTCCAGATGCCAAGGTATTTAGAATTTCCCAAGGCCATTCACTCAATAATTCAACTATGCAGCTATATGGTGCAATTTAAATCAAAAGCTATGAATATTTCAGGAACTATGACTCAGCCATATTGCAAATTATGTATACATTATGGTAATACATATAAAAATGTGGGGCCCTGTCCTTCTCCCATTGATTACAATAGGAGCAGGATTGGGTCCATAAACCCTAATATATGCTGTAAAAAAAGCTACATTGAAAGAACGTTAATGTAACAAAGCGAAGGACTGAAAAATCAGAAAATGGCTTTATTAAGGATGCCTGAATAACCTTAACTCTGTCCCTTTGTGCAAACAAAATATTACATGGTCTTTTAGTACTTCATCGCATACTATTTTTACTATAGGATCCCTGCCTTATTCAGCACACTGGTTGAACAGTGTTCAGTGAATGAAGCAATGATACATAGTGAATGAGGAAATGTGTCTAATTTTAATCCAAATTCTGTTTGCAATTACCAGTGTAAATTCATTGAAATCAGTGGACTTTAAATTTACACTGGTATATCTGAAAATATATTTCTGCTGTCAGTAGACAGGTCAATCGATATGTAATGAATGAGGCAAGTGTCCACTCACACTGAACAGTAAAGATAATAAATATTCAAAAGTTACTTCATTCACTGAATCCCATCCATCCTATATGTGATCTTGTAATTAAATACTGTGTAATAATGTATATGGATAAAGAGCTCAGTTGAGGTTCCATGTGTTAACTTTGGCATCTCCTGAATGTTGAGTATTTCATTTTGCATTCTTTATGTTCTTTCAACACAGCTAAGTTTTAACTTTTCATTTGTTTGTTAAGCAGTGACTGTGAGAGACATGGTCCCTGCCCTGAGAAGCTTACATTCTAAATACAGTAACTCCTCACTTAAAGTTGTCCCAGTTAACGTTGTTACGTTGCTTATCAATTAGAGAATGTGCTCGTTTAAAGTTGCGCAATGCTCCCTTATAACCTTGTTTGGCAGCCACTTGCTTTGTCCACTGCTTGCAGAAAGAGCAGCCCATTGGAGCAAATTGGGTGCTTGGAACCAGGGTGGACTGGCAGTCTCCCTATCAGCTCCCTGTTCCCCTAAGTTCCCTGTGCAGCAGCCGCCCAGCAGGCTATCAGTTGCCAGCTGTTCAGCTGTCCCTCTCCCCACTGCCGTGTGCTGCTCCTGCCCTCTTCCTTGGAGCTGTCCCTGGGAGCCTTCTGCTTGCTGTGCAGGCGGGGTAGGAGGGGGGCTAATGTCAGGGTGTCCCCCTACCCCCACTTCTGCCCCCCGCTCCTTTACCCCATCTCCACAGAGTGGAGGGGGGGGGAGGGCAGGGACACAACAGGGCTCAGGACGGAGGGAGCTTGCTGGCAGCAGCTGCTGTCTCAACTTGCTGAGCTACTTAAAAAGGCAATGTACTTAGAGTGGGGTCAGCGTACTTAAAGGGGCAATGCGCATCTCTCTCTCACATAGGGTGTGTGTCTCCGTCTCTGTCTGCCATGCTGTCTCCCCTCCCTCCATTCATGCTGCCTTGTAGAGTGTGAGGCTACATTAACAACAATGTGTTAACCCCTGAGGGCTCAGCCGAGTGCTAGTTCATCATTTAGCAGTAAGGCATTCCCTGGGAAATATCCCATCCTCTGACTCCACCACCTCAACCAAGCTTCACAATCATCATTGCTGTGTATGGTACTAAATTGTTTGTTTAAAACTTATACTCTGTGTGTGTGTGTGTGTGTATATATATATATATATATATATATATATATATATATATATATAT